TGGCCTTGAATATTTATTTTTAATATTTATCTTTCATTAAAGTTTTTTTTTTTACCATAGGAGATGTATATCAAAAGTTACCCTAAAGTAGCACACTTTTCTATCTTTTATGTATATTAAAACATGAAATAATACCTTGAATCATTTTACTACTTTTGAATGATCTCAATATATTATTCCAGATGCTTTTACAATTTAACCTTTTTCAATTTCATAGATATTTTTCTCCAGGCAAATCCATACAATCAAATCCTTTCACCTGCAGGAATTCTGCAGAGGTATTTCCTTCTCAAGGGAAGTATTATGTGTTTTGAGCACCAAAATACCAACAGTATTTGTGAAAGAAGTTTTATAGGAACAACAGGGAGAGAAAGAAAACCCTTCCAATGAGCAAATAATATGAAAACAGTCAACAATGTTCGAAGTACCTCCAATTTTGCATATTTTAAAATCAGAGTGAATCAAATGGAAGTGTTTGCTTTAATAGTAACTGCTGTTTTATATACTTGAATTTTATTTCTATTGTTTAATTACCAGCATTTTTTTCAAAATGTTTCTGGAGCTCTAGCTCCTATGCTATAAATTTTCTTTCTATTCATTAATTAATAATTAAATTGACACTATATGCAAAAATAAGGTAAGGTTGTTAATTTGGAAAGAAAGATTTACGTTTAAAGCAAAATAATGGAGATAACCTATTGAATAAAAAAATAATATTATGAAGCTCTATATTTCTTCACCTCTTTTTTTGTTTTTTTTTTTAAACACCAATAATACTGATTTTAGAGCAAAAAGTTAAATAGCTCTTTATGGAAACAAAGGGGCATAGATAAATTATTTGATCTTTCTTAAATTTTTCTTTGTCTCCAAATTCTTGAAAGTAAGAAAAAAAAGGGGCTGGGGATTTAGCTCGGCGGCAAAAGCGCCTGCCTGGCAAGCGCAAGGTCGTGAGTTCGGTTCCCGGTACCGGAGAAAAAAACCAAAAGAAAAAAAATCTATATGATTTGAAAAGCTATAATTTATTGGTATTTATCAATGATACCTTCTATAATATCATATATATATATAACTTTAGATTGGATTGTCTACTATAGAAGCTATTTCAGCTTTTATTTACCATCTGATTACCTTAAGAATAATAGAAAAGGTAAAGAGTATATTGCTATATTTCATTTACCTAAGATAACTAATATAATATATAGAGAAGCTATTTTACCTAAACTCTAATCTCCATATGTTGTTTCAGTTCTACCTCACTGTTACTAGGACTCAAAGACTGCCTTCAATCCTATTTCTTACTTCTACTTAAGAGTCAATCCGTATTGGGATTATCTATAAAAATATTCATACATGAGATTGTATGTAATTAAAAAGTTTCAGACCATGGTTGCAGAGTGGCCAATAGAACTTCATGCCACAGAGATCTTATAATGAAATGATGTCACGATCATGATTGTGCTTATTGCTATAGAAGAAATCAACCTGCAGAAGAAATCATCCTAAGATGTGAAGACATCATAAAACAAGAGAGCAACAGTGGCTAAAAGTTTGGTCTTTCTGGACAGGATGAAATTTTGACTGGCAGGGCTGGTAAAGATCTCGGAAAAATTGGGTGATATCAAGTTGTTAAGTTGTTAAAATCGTATGAATATCTTCAGTACTGACTTTGTGTTTGTCATCACGTTTTAATTTCATTAACATATCAAGTAAGTCTCCAATGCACAAAAATTCCAAATTTATGTGCCTGATTATTTGTATTTGTGTGTGCTGCTGAGTTATAAATGGGAAAGTTTATTCGCAGAACTGACATTTAACAGATATCACCTACCAAGAAGAGCCGAGGTGTTTCATTATAATTTTGTGGAACTTGTTTTATGATACTCAAATCACTTCCACTGTGATGAAAATGGGTTGAGAGAGGATTTTAGAAGTTTTAGAAGGGATTTTTTTGGAGAATGTTCTTGTTCTTTTTGGAAGAAGAATGGAGCATAGCAGAAAGGCACTTCAATATTAGAACTTGTAAAGCTTTCTGTGGAGTGGAGAGGATGCAGTGAATTAATGCATGATTTCCACCTGAGGAGTATGGAATGGAAGAGAAAACGTGGGTTAGCATCCCCATATAATGAGCCAAAAATGAAGTTGCTGCTTCAGGATCACCTTATTTTTCTAGAATTCGTCAGAACATAGGATGCAGTGGGGTCACTTGGGTTTAAATGTATGCTGCATATAAGGTACACTGTAGGGGTCAGAATAAGTCATCTTCAGTAGAGCCAGTTAAATGACCCATGAAATCACAACTGATAAAAATGTGGGAATGCATCATTAGGTGTTGCACATCTGCAGAAAAAAATAAAAGGAGCCGACAGACGTACTGCTGAAGGAAACTTCAAGTAAAAAACTTCCAGTAATGGAGCAGAGCTTCAAAGAATCCATGAAAATATTCATGAGATTTCTGCCAGCTCCAGAGGAGATGAAGCTATTCTAGCCAAGTAAAATTTTTCTTATTTCCAGCCATCTTCCACCTCTGAAGGGAACAAAAGGATCAGACAGGAAGTGTGAGAAAGGAGTGGGGAAGAAGAATCAAATCTACTCTCTCTCTACATAGCAGTAATCTGGTGGTATTATACTCCTCTGAGAGTAATTTCCAGGAATGTAATTGTATCTGATTAAGACTGAAGCTTTGTTATCATCTTGGACTGCATATTGATATCTGAACTTCTTCTGGATTTAGTGATTTAAAAATATTAGGAATTATTTTAAAAGTTTTAAAATTATTTGTTTTCATGTACTGACAGAAAATTCTAAATCTAAGGTAGAAATTTGAAGAAGGCCCTGAAGAAAGATGACACTGAATTGCGATGCTTTCATAGTGCATCCTCTAATGCATAGTTTTTTCTTTTCAATTTTTATTTTATTAGTAAATGTCTCATTTTATTCATAGAATTAACAATTTGACTAATAAGATCCTCAAGTCCAGATGGCTTTTGAATTCGTTGATACTGCCTTGGTTTACAGCACAAGATGATTTTCCAGGTTTGTTTCATACTTTCGTAGATCTACCCGTGGAATTAGGTATTTATCCTTCGTCATTTAGTGGAGCGAGCTTTGGAGAAATCAAGACATGCTACTGGAGTATCACTGAAAAATTTGTTTTAAGTCATATTTTTCCTTTTATTAAGTATGTATAACTTAAGTACTGTGTTCAAAAATGTGACAAGGTTACATCTCTTTCCCTCTCTGCTGTTTTTCTGCGTGTGGTGATATCAGCAATTTAAACACTGTTTCAGTCGTTCATTTGTATTTTTTAGTTTCTAATCTCACTCTTCTACTTTTATTTTTAAATATGAAATATTAAATGGTTCTTAAAGTTGGAACTGTGCAAAAAGCTGGAATCAGAGAGGCATTATTTGTCATACATTCCTTTTATTCTTTCTACCCTGTTCCACTCACCCCCAAAAGTAACTGATTTTCTAATTTTTACCCTCTGTTGCTTGTGCCCAAGTGGGCACATATGTATATTTTCTGATTTTTTCATTTTTCTTGTACAAAAATGTGATATATGATACATTGTTTTGCACTTAAATTTTTCACCGAACCACTCATCCAAAAATCACTCTACATGAATTGCGAAGAATTCCTTCCTTCATTCTTTTACACAATGCCATGCATTCAGTTGCCCAGCTATACCATGATTTGTTTAATCACTTTCCTTTTATTTAGGCAGGCAGTTTTCAATATCATGAAACTATAAACGATGTCTCAATAAGAACTTTGTGTTTTGTATTTTCATGTTATTGGATGTGCACATTCATGGTATAATTTAGGTTAAATAAACCAAGTGAATGTAATTAAACTACTGAATGGGACAGGATGGCATAAAATAAAAATTTCCTTTTGCATCGCTTTCTTCTTTCCTACTCTATATGTCTACTTCTATAAGTGAACGTTTACATTCTGATTTTATACCTTCCTAAACTAAATGAATGCATGGTATTTAAGGGTGCTAATTAATTATATCTCATTACATTTGTTTTACTTAGGAATAATTGAGAAATAGATGTAAGGATCAAGGACTAGCATTTCAATATCAACCTTACTAATATTAAAGTTGAGTTGAATAACATCTTAGGCTTCTCATAATTAGATTTCTTAGTGCTTCTTTCTCAAAACTGACTGTGGAACACATCGGAGATACAGAGAAGAAACTCCTAAGCAGAATCATTTTCTCACACACACATGAGACATATTTAGATTTGCTCTGAATTCTGGAATATTTCATTCATAAATGTTTGAAGCTTCCAGAATAAAATATGAGACAATGAATTTAGAAGTACTATTATAATCTCTTTATTTAGGAATATTTACTTGATATATAAATTTATGAAGCAATGAAACAGACATCATATATATTTACTTATTTTAATGAATAATACACCGCATATGTAAATAATGTGCTCTCAATATTGCTAATCCTACTAGTTCAGCAAAGTTATAGAATAAATATAAATTACATACAACTTTATGCAGCAAAATATAAATAAAGTAGAGATTTTTGCCATTAAATACATATAGGGCCAGTAGGACCTTTCTACCAGGATTCTTCTTTTAAATGTATAAAGATCTAAATTAAATCAATATATATTTTCTATTCTGGACTCAACCTATGTTTAGCTAAGCAAATGGGGAAAGGAACAGTTACAAGATAAATTGTATGTCTTTGCTTTGTTACAGGCTATTTGTCAGTATAATATATTGAAAGAAAAGGAGCTATCTTCTATATCATTCTTCAGTAATATATTCCCTTTTGTCATTGTACTGCACCTTGTATTTATTTAAAAAGTAAACACACTCTAAAGGGTCTATTTTTAAAACATAAAGTGGGCTTTTGTAGCATTTCATTTTATGTTAGGAAGACTTAAACTAAAAAAATAATGATTCTATAAATGGTTTTGACAAGTGATACCGTTATTCCCCCTCCTTTTAAATCTGTAAGAGAGAAGTCTCTGCATATCTACAATAAGTTCAATCCTTGACAATTGGCGGCAGAGCCATCAACTGACTGGGATAATTAAGAAATTTCTAATTGTGTGACTTTAAAAAATGTGCAGCTGATTTACAAGGTGAGTGTATGTATTTGTAGCATGCAATATTTGCCCATATTAAACAGAGATTTATTGGAGATAGGCAGAGTTAACATCTGGAAAAGCGGGTGTTGTGTAGTATTTAAATACCTTGATTTCTTCTTCACCATTATTCATGAGAGAAATTTGACATCTTCGGCTCTCAGAGGTTTAATAGAATCCCTTGAACAGCTGCATATGCACACAAAACAAAGTGAGAAGCAGCTTATAGTAGAATATAAGGAATAAAAGAATATATAAAAGTCTTTAATCACATAGATAAGCTAAATAACGTGCTTAAAAAGAATGTTAGGAAAGAAAATTTCTTGCCAGCTACCTTGGAAAAAACTTTTAGAAGGTGAAATCACTATTTCCATTTCACGTGGAAGTTCACCTATATTATGCCAGGTATGAAAACTAGTGCCTGGCATGGGTGTCCATGTAGCCACTGTTATTAGGTGGGACTGATTGAAGGTGACACTCAGAAATAATTAATGGTTTCTACCGTATAGGCTCTGATGTTGTGGCACAATTACAGAATTGTCTGTGGTCACTGATATGTGCTCTCTTATTTCTGAGAATTTGCTAACAACGTGGGTCATTTCTAATGACTGAAAAAAGGCAAATGTAGGCTCGCCAAATGAAAAAGGAGACTAGGCAGGAGTCAAAGCAGCCCTTTCACCTTGGCAGTATATTACATAGTACTGTAATAATTCATTCAAGCAAACAAGTTCTGTCAGCCCAACCTGGTTTTAATATGAATTGAAGCTCTACAAGACAAGGGACAAGGTATAAAAAGTAATATGATTTCATCTTATTGAATTTCAAGGTTTTATCTCACAGAATGCTTACCTGAACATTGTGGAAGTATGGTTTAGAACAAAGGCCTCTGAAGTAAATGGCTTTTCTAAATAGCGTAAGTACAAGGGAATAGCTAAAATCAGCAAGCTTTTTTTGTAGTGACACTTTCTTATTTGTGGTATTAAAGACTTAAATGAGATAATATCTATTATGTTCCTATGAAAGTACTACAAATTTAGTGACTAATTTGGTGACAAAGAGTATAAATATAATGATGACATGACTGTAAGAGACTCTAGACAATGTAAATTGAAGAAATGTAAGATCAATAAAATTACTTTTGAAGAAGTGAGATAGAAAGTGATCAAATATCAAATATTGATAAACAAAATATTGGAGTTCTTAAATAACACCCTGAAAAATAGGAACCTTATTCTCAGAGTGAATCACTTAAGTCCATCCTTACCAACAAGCCTTCTGGAAATAATATATCAAAAAGAACTCTAATTAGAAAGAAGGACACTTAACAAAAAGAAATTTTGCAAGAGGCAGCATGTGTTCATTTCATGAAGTGTTTTTTTTTTTCCAGTACCGGGAATCGAACTCACAACCTTCCACTTGCCAGGCAGGCGCTGTGCCGCTGAGCTAAATCCCCAGCCTCTGAAGTGTTCAATTGTAGGTGATTTACTGGAAACGTGAAAATATTGGAAAGGGCACAGCAAAGAGAAATAAAGAGAAGCAGGAAATGGGACAATAAGAATAGGAAATTTTACTTGGAAATAGACATAATAGCTCTAAGCAAATGGAGTTAAATGACTGTGAAGTCATACCGCACAATCATAGTTAGAAACTCTGCTCGATCACTAGGGGAGATCAATATAATTATAAATGTAGCACAAAAGCCTATGGAATTGCATTTCTTAAAAAAGAGGATCTGTTTTAAATTTTGGCTTAGATGAGTCAGCCTTGGGTAAATTTTCTGTCTGGTTTTATTTAGCATTTGTAAGAGTTAGAAGATAAAGTTGGATATTGGGCCTGTCTTTTTTAAATACCTCTTCTGGTTAAAAGATAAAAGAACACTCTGTAAGTAGAAATCAGTGAGCAATTACAGAAGTCAGAGCTCTCTCTTCTTTATTAAAAATTGATATTGAGCTCGGATAATTTGCAAGAATTGAATAAAACTTTGGGAATAATGTCGTAGCTAAGAAATATACTCTCCCTATGTAATGGAACTGGATCAATCAGAAATTTTCATAGAAAAAGATTCATCCCATGGGGTTAGTGCTAACATTCTGGAATAATTCTTGAGAATTTTTGTGACACTTAAGACATTTTTGGAATGATTTTATTACAATGTCTCAATTACAGAATATGCTATTGAATTTTCTTTCTCTTGCTATTTTCACTTTAACGGATTGTGTTCAGCACATTTAAAGGAAAAGTGTTTTTCCCCTGGAGGTTTTGATTGGAGTTTAAGCCAAAGAAGTGTGGGATAAGATTTTTAGAAAATAACAAGCACTGTTTGAATTCTAGCCATCTCCGGTTAGAAAGATGTAATTGCATATCAGAAAAGATTTATGAAGTATAACTGAAACTTTTGGTTATTAAGTTTACCAAACTATACTGTACCAAGTTATAGAATTTCAAATCAGAGTTTTGATTATTAGAGACCTTGGTTTGTGAAAGTAATCATTTCAATCACAGAAATCAAATGGTCATAGGAGTGTAATGTAAGATTAATGACAATGATTATGATGGTGAAGATGAGTGACATTTATTGAGCTCTCATTATATACCTAAGACTGTTTTGCATAGTTGAAAAGGATAAATTTATTTAATGTCCACAGATGCTCTTTCACTTACTTATACAGATTTCAATGTTTTGAAAATAATGAGAATGGAAACAGAGATCTCTTATGTGAATGTTCAAACCTCACACATCTACTAAATGGTAGTGTTAGAGTTTTAGCTCAGCAGTGGGACTATACATTCACTAAGATATTTTAGTCTTACACAGAAAACACATAAGCAGTCATTATCAAGTGACTTTTAAAAAGGTGCTACAATTAATACTTTGTAATTCCTTTGGTCAAAAGGTTTAGTTCTAACCCATGGACTATGACACACAGTTGAGAATAAAACCTGTGGTATTTTCCACTAATATTCTATAATAAAGACAGTGTTTTCTGTAGAGATGATTTACTATCTGTCCCTTATAAAAGTGCTTTAAAATGGTCAATAAAGATCCTAAATTAGTAATGTGTTATGAATCAATGCTTTTTATCTGCAAATTTATTATGTGAATAGCTTACCTGAAAGTACATATTTGATTTTTAAACACAGTGGTAAATTAGAGTATTTTACAAGTGAAGTGATTCTAGTTTGGAGTTTCAGAGGACTCCGCCTTGTAGTATTTCTCTTTTACCAGAATGAGTTCGTAAGACATTGTGCCTTTTAAAACTCCTGTGACTTGATAAATGCAATACTCACCAGTTAATATTTATTGTTAGGAAGCCTGCCTTTTTTATGCTATAACATCCTTGTTATGAAAGGTCAAAACTTGTCTAGTTAAGCCTTGGAATTACTGACCCAATTTCTTAGCATTTTTTTTTTTTTTTTTTTTTTTTGTACTGGGAATCAAACTCAGGACCTTGTGCTTGCCAGGCAGGCATCTGTAGCACTGAGCTATATTCCCAGCCCCACTAACCCAATTTCTCAAATGTCAAAAGAACTGGATCATGAAAACCATGTAGAAGAAAACACAACTGATTGATAACGATTTCCATAGAAAAGGAGAAAAAGGTTAAGATTGTGGTTAATGAATGGAGAGAATAGCAGTATTATGTTATTTAATTTTAAAGAAGAATATATTTATGTATTTTATACCTTTTATAATAATATGCTACAATATTTTTATTTCTTAAAATGGTTGTGACTGGGAGTTATCTTTTGCTAAAAAGTCAATACAGTGGAAAAAGTAGTTAATTTGAGCTTTCATAGTTTGAATATGTAGCCAGTATTTCTTAAAGGCATAATATGGTGGCTTGTGATATTTTAAATTCTAAACAGGAACTCAGAAATAAGTCATCATTTCTTTTTTCTCTCTTCCCTAAATGCCATTATTATCATCTTAGACACGTGATTTAGCGTCCACCAATAAAATGTCAATTTGGACTTGGAGTTGAGAAATGACAGTAGGGAGCCAAGTGTGGGAGATGTGACCAGGTAAGTGTGGACAGGTGTCGTCTGTGGGGCCTGATGGGAGTGGAATGCCCTGGATGGAGGAGGCAGCTCTGGGACTGGATGTGCACTGTCCCTGCCTCGGAGAACTCAGGCCTGGCTCACTGGTGGCATGAACCAGGTGATTTCATTTAGGAAATTTTTCTTCCTTGTCAACTCAACAGACTGGATTTTGCGTTCTGAAAAAACAAATGTTTAGTGATAAAATAGTTAATGATTTCTAGTTTATCCACCAATATGATAGTCTTACGAAAGAACATGTTTTGTTTCCCTCTTATCTTTTCTTTTTTTGGTAATAAATATCTTGCTATTTATTTAGCTGAGGTTTTAGAAAGGATGAAAATCATGCTACTCATTAGAATGAGGTCTATTGCCCTCACATAGAGAGCAGGTTAAAAATTCAGAATGAAGGCAAAGACAAAGAGAATAATTGAACATTTCTTTTTTAAAAAAAAACCCACAGAAGCCCTCCCTACATACTGAAATTGTACAATCATGTATTGGCCTAGTCTTATATCAGTGCGTTGACAGTTGAAGAGCACCAAGTTGTCTCATCTAGGTTAAACATGCCCAGAGAATTGATAAAGTATATGTTCCTTTAAAATAAAACGAACTCTTACGGAGAGATCAAATCCTCAACAAAAAAGACCTTTTATAAACCATATATTATTGATGTCATCACCAAATTTCCTGAAGAAAAATAGGTTTAAACACTGTTTTCCCGTTGAAGAACTTCGAGAGATGCTGCTCTTTGATGTGGGACACAAAGGAGCAAAACCTTTTTGGTGACAGGGCTAGCATACTGAAATACCTTCATATGTCCACCTCCAAATATAAAAAGTCTCCTTTGGAATTAATGCTGCTGTCTTGAATTTCAGTTCAGTCACCAGCAAACCTAAACTAGATGTAGCTATAATCCTTAAAATGACTGAATAAAATTAGGGAAGTAGTTAAAGCTCTCAGAAACATAAGTTACAGTTACAGATATATTTAATCAGGCTATAGGAAATTTCATGCCATTTTAAAGGCTACATTTAAACTAACTCACAGTTTCATTTTGTTGCTAAAATTAATAATGATGCTTCACATCCAAATAGCTATGGAAGTTTGATATTTTCTACCTGAGAATAGCATCCTTAAGTGCCTATTGCCTCTGCTTTTCATTCTCCTGCATTCTCAGGGGGTCTGACATGTTCACATGAGAATTGTGCTTATTTTCAGTTTTCTAGAGAAAACTTCAACCCAAAATTTACAAGTATGAAAGGTTTACTGGTGTCACTTACTTTTAGTCATGGTGGATGACAGATTTCCTCCCTCATCTTTCATAGCAAAGAGGCAGATTAAGAATCATCTGCAAATTAGATTATGGGATTAAAAATCCAGCAAAATAACCTAACTCTTCTGTACTATGACTAGAGCAAAGCTGCCTGGGAGGGATTATTGGATCCTCTTAAAGATTGGTTCCATAAGCAGGAAGGGAGCGCCAGGGATATAGCTCAGTGGTGTAAGTAGCTGCCTGGCAAGTGCAAGGTCCTAAGTTCAAATCCTGATTAAAAAAAAAAAAAAAAGCAAAAAGGATAAAAAGCCATAAGCAAGAAGGGCACTTACGGGACCACGCTGTTCCCCACATCATTCTTTTTACAGAAGTTTAAATGTTCTGTGGAGCAGTTGTGAAACTTATTTCCACTTTTGTAAAACGGACATAACACAGTTGTTAAAGGTAGTTTACAGCATGCTTTGTTAGTATTAGGAGTTTATAGGAAATCAGAAAAATCCAGAGCAGTTTTAGTATTTTTCTATTGGTCATATAGTTTTCATGATTAGAGTCTTTGGGCAGAAGACAGGCCTGAGATTTTCAAGCTATTTCCAAAATAAGAAATTAGAAAATTATCAAAGAAATTAATTTTTAAAGAAATTAAAAACAACTGTGTCTAGATTCTTTTTGCAGCTTTTATCATTTATTAGTTTTTATTTCAAGAGGACACTATTAAATACAAACTATTACATAGTATTATTAATGTTTCCTCCTTACTTAAGCCATTTTATATCGCATTAGAAACTGCAAGACAATATCAAGTAACAATTCAAATCACTGGGTCTCGCAAATAATGCCACCTCAACATGCAATTTATTGGGAAATTAAATTTATAACTGCTATACCAACAGAATCCAAGCATTTTCACCCAGCCATACCATGCCTATAGTATCAATTCACAGATAGTGGGCCCTCTCACTGAAAGATTCTTATAATCAGGTTTTTTAAAAAAACTAAATTTGTACTTTTATTGATCTGTGCTTGCAGTTTGTTCTATTTGACTCTTATAAAACTCTACCTATCTGTCTTGCCTGATTATCTGTGCCTAAATTCGTCTTTTTATTTTGTAAGTAATAATATTAACCTCAAAGTAATTATTTATTTACAGAGTTAACAACTGTCACAAGGGCTTTAGAGATTTGGTTTCACCTCATTACCATGACTTAACCTTCATGGAGATACTTATGGTCTTTCTCTATTACATTTCAATATATATACTAATTTGTTTCATTTTTGTTACTAGTTTATCTTAGTTTATTTACAGGAAAGTTTTTTGTTATTATATGTTTTTTAAAAAATCTTTTTGGTTTATATCTTGTACACTCAGTAATGACTTTGAAGATAGCAATACAGAGTGCAGTAGCTATTGTTATTCTCTTATTATTTAGTTATGAAATTTTGTGCTTTTTTCATAAAAACAAATCAAAGAAATAAAAGAAGAATATGATTGTAATGATTGCTCATGAAATTTAAACTTAGTATGGAGGTGTGCTATGCCAATAAGGACAGTCAGAAAGTGGAAAACATGATTATGCAATCTGATATGGAATACATGGAACATATGGAATCAGAGGATTAGTAGAAACCTTGTTAGTAAATTGATAAACAAACTGGCATTTCTGGAACACTTACTGTATTCTGAGACTTAATTTTATGAGCTTTAAATGAATCATCCCTTTTAGCTTCACTGTAACTTACGAGGTAGATACCGTACTATAATCCTCATTTTGCAAAGGAGGAAATCGCAGGGCCTCTGAATCAGGAGTAATGGTAATACTGGTGTCTTGGTTACTTTTCTCTGGTTGCTGAGACAAAATACCCAACGCCCAAAATGAAGGAAAGAAAGGTTTATTTAGCTTACAGTTTATGGAGGTTTCAGTCCATACTTGGCTGGCTCCAAGGCAAAAGATAGCAAAGCAACAAGAGTAAAGGGGGCAATGGCAGCTGAACAGCAACCAGCCAGAGCAAAAGGGAGGAATGGCGACAAGCAGCTTCTTTCCCTCCCTTACATCATAAACAGGTTACCCCCACCTAAGGGGCATGTAGCTCTCACATAATCTCCATGCCCTCCCCTTCCACAGGCTCAGGATGTATACAAAGTAAGCACCCTGGCTTCCTGCTGAGTCACTTAGCCAAACCTCTAGACTCCCCAAATTGACACAATGTATCAACCATAACAACTGGCTGTCTTTACTTCCCTGGATCAACCACACTGAGAATAAAGTGTTTCCATATGTTTGAAACCTTTTATCTATATATAATTACTACTCAGCGAACAAGGCACTTGAACATTCACAATACCGAATCGAATTAAGTGGTTTAAGGCACTAATGTGGAGAAGTCTTCAAAATCCTCAAACATAAGGCTGAAAATATCCTCTGGGTTTTCCGATTTTTGTTCATATACTCAGTGCTCTGATCTTTGGACATTATGTTGGTTACTTTCCTCATTGTTGGACAAAATACCCAACACCCGAAGTTAAAGGGAGAAAGGTTTATTTGTCTTAGAGGTTTCCGTTCATAGCTGGCTGGCTCCAAGGCAGGATGGCAACCCTGAAAGAAACCCCGGAAGAGAAATAGTCCACAAAAGGCAGGGAGGTGAGAGCAAGCAAGGGACCTCAGCAGGTTCACTTTGTCTTTTACATTCTATCTAGGCTACCGGGATCAGCAGCGGACTGATTTGGTAATCACATACACTTAATCCCAGCATCATACATTCTAGGTTCAGGCACCTGTGAAAAAGCCCCATCTGTGACTGCATGAGGTACTGGGGGGGGGGGGGACATTCAGCCAAAAGGCATAACAGACACATTTAAGGAAGCATCATGTGTGAATACAGGAAAACTGTTAAGATCTGATGTCTCAATTTCTGGTAGATTGCAGTTTTTCTTCAAAAGATAATGGACTTAAGTATCTTATTTTATGGTCTTTGATATATAAACTGGATTTACCTGAAATTTCCCCATGCTTGTTAATTTTTAGAAATAAGCAAGCGTGATCTGTTTTCCAGATAAATGTTAAATTGTAGAATACATATTTATCAGTGGTTACAGAATGCCTAATATAACTATCAAATTGAATTAAGCATTTTTTCTAGATAAGGTCATGACAGGAGACACACAAACCCATCAAATGAGCTCATGAAATTATATTATGAACTGATAAAGAGTTGCCTCCACCTAGGCTGTCCTTTCTAACCATTTGAAATCTATCTGCTCAATTTAAGAAAAAAATGACTCAGAACCCATATGCAATGCACCTTGCTGATAACTCATTACCAGAGAATAAATAATTTAAGTGAAGCCTCTTGGAGTCAAAATCCTGGAGCTGCTGATATCTCAGTTGTCCCTGCAGGGAAGAGAATGACCAGAGCTTCAGTTTCCTGGTAGTTATTTTCTCCTGTCTTTTCTCTTTTGAATTAGTAGACATTACATGGCCACTAGTTTGGGCAGCTTCTCTAAATTATCAATGTAATTGGTAGATTTAAAGAGGAATCTTTGAAATAACTAGATATGGCAGCCACTCTAACCTCTCTACATGAGTATTTAAAAATGATAGTGGAGAAAAGAGAAGATGTTTATTCTGTGATCATGAGTGCTACATTAAATTAGGGCAAAAAGGCAGAAAACATCAGCAGAGGCATCTAATCTATTCCTGTGGCAACTAAGGACCATCAGTTATACTTTATTCATTTCTGTTCCTCCAATAGAGGCTGTCACTTTTAATTGAGGTAAGTGATGGCGGCTTCCTGGACACAGTTGGGGAGTTAGTATAGGCTAATGTTTTTGCTTAACTTCATTTCATCCCAATTGTGCTTAGGAAAGACAGCAATGACTTGATCTTTATTTATTCTTTTCTTTCCTCTAACAAGTTTCTCCGGAATATCTCTGCAACTCTCTAGAAACTTGACATTAAGCTATTTGAAGTCATTCACTTTGTAGAAAAGAAAGGATATTAAACTATAATGAAGACTGAAGACTATGGATACTACGGAAGCCATCCTTGTGAACACACTGGCTTTATCTTGCCTTTCTTATCATTTATTTGCTCCAGAGTTGCTTTGTCTTACTTTCCAACTTTACCCACCAGCAAACGAAACTTCATTGGAAAAGTGGGAAGATAGTATGGGCAACAAACATTCAAAAAAGAAGTCCTAAAAATTCATTAGTAACCAAAGGAATACAGATGAAAATGACTCTGTGATAAGAAATGATATTAAACAGTGTGTCAAGTGTTGGAAGGGATGTGTTGCTATAAAATTTATGCACCGCTGGGCATAATGGAGACACCTTCACCCATCACAGAAACCAATCTGGCAGATCTAAAGAGCAACTTGTGAGAGGACACTTCTCTTAGCAAATTTGTGAGTGAAGTGTTGAAGTCTGTTAGGTGCTTATCACTGGTAAGTAGGTGGTGTTAACTCTGGAAGGATCCCATGTAGTAGAGTCTGCAGCATTAGGATCAACCAACTAGATAAATCCTGTGCAACATTAACAGATACTGAAGACAAATTATTGAATTCAAAAGGTAAGAGTGAGGTGAATGATACCACCTACATCAATTAAAATTATACATTTGAACATTTGGCGAACGATACATAAAAACACGGAGATATATTTTAAGCCCCTTAGAATGACAACAGATGTGGACAGAGGAATGCAAGGGGAGAGAGCATAATAGGAAAATAATGTATAGATTAAGAAAAAATGATAGGATTGATTTGTATGGAACTTTGCCTACTTTCTAAATAAATTATTCTTACTTGCCTTGCTGGATCTTCTACTCAATCAACTCTCTTTGGGTGGGCAGTGGGTTCACGATTTTCCGATTCTTATCATAGATATTACTATTCAGAAATTCTTTGCCTTTTTTATTATTTCTCTTAAATGTCAGTGTGGAGTTATGTCTGGAACCCCACCTGATGTACTCCCCTTTAAGTTAGGAAAAGAAGCATGAGCTTTCACTATCCAGAAACTTTAATCCTCATTGATAAGATCAGAGAAGAGGAAATTTATGCTTGTGGATGCTCTAGAATGTGCGGGAGCCTTTGCAAAAGCAGGTTTTGGCTGTGGAATAGACACTTCGGGATGTCCTCTCTAGGATCCCTGATTTTCCATTTGAGTTCTTTCTAGACCACATTTTGGGGCAGGAAGAACCTGACCTCCTAGTCCGTCCCACACGTTCTACCTCTGCCCGGTGTACACATATCAATTTCTTTTTTTTTCCTCTACATTTTCTTTCTCAATACTAACTCTGTTTTTATTCCAGCACCTTCCTTACCTTTTCTCAGCTTCTGATTTGTGCTTGGTCTGCCTCCTAGTGAGCATGCCAGAATCACAATTCAGCCATTGTCAGAGTCTTTGATGAAATCTTCACTATAAAATGCACTGGACACTGCTAGTGGTTCCTAATTTGGAATTTCTCAGACATAAAGATCAACAAATCCTTAATTGGGTTTCAGTAAAAACAATTTTGTCTTATTTTCTGTTTCTTTTCATAGAGATCCTGAAACACTTAGAGTCTCCAAAGTGCTAGGTGTCTAATGAGGTTACAAGTGGCTGGAGGTCCTGGACACTCAGAGTAGGGGTTGTTTGCCTGATTAACAACCAGGCCAACTGAACACTGGAACTTCCAGACCCATTACCTGACTTCCAAATGGGAAAGAGAAGTTGAATACTCATAGCCAATTATTTCTCAATCACATATATGTAATGAGAGCTACACAAGATGCTAAAATTTATATTTTGGATGTATATACAGAGACACAGGGTCTGGAGAGCTTCTGGATTGCTAAACATGTGGAGGCACCTGAATAGACACGTAGCCTGAGTGGTGGTGTGATTTCCCTGCCGCTTCCCACAAAACCCTCCCCTTCGCACTTCTTCATATGGCCATTCATGTGTTATCTTTAACTATTTCATGTGAAACATCAGCAATAGTAAGTCAGGTGTTTCCCTGAGTTCTATGAGCTGCTCTAGAACATTAATCTGAGAAAGGGATAGTGGGAACCCCAGTTTTTAGTTCTTCAGTCAGAAGTACAGTCAAAACAATCCAGGGCTCATGATTGGCATCTGAAGTGGGGGACAATCCTATGACTGAGAACTACTCTGTGGGATCTGTTGCTACCTCCAGGGAAGCATTGGAATTAAACTGTAGGGCAGCCAGATGGTGTTCTCTAAAGAATTGCTTGGGGTGGGAAGGATAAATCCCCATATATTTTAGTGACTGGAAATATCCTGTGAAATTGTGACTCTGTAGTAAGAGGAAATAGGTTTTTTTTTTTAAAATTTATTAGTACATGTTTTCAGTACAGCATGATTATGTTCATCATGGGGAGCTGGAATGTGTATAACACAGCTGACTTTTTTCATCCCCTTCCCCTCCCTCCCTCTCCATTCCATCCATCTCTTGATTCGCCTTCCTATTACACCAAAATTGAATAGTGTCACTTTACATTCACACCTATTCAAATATCTAAATGTAATCTCAAAATAGATTTAATAGATATTAGCTTGGGATCAAAATGAGGTCAACTTGGATTTGGATGGGCCCTAAATTCACTTCAAGTTTTCTAATAAACAGGAAGAGACACATAGACACTGACAGATAAGAAAGCCAGGGGAAGTTGGAGCGCAAGTTGGAGTTTTGCTCTCACACTCTAGATATGAACTGGAGAAATCAGAAATGATTCTTTACAAGAGACATCAGAAGGAGCCTGGTCCTACTGATGCCTCAGTTTTGAAATTCTGACTTACAGACTGTGAGACTCAGTTTCGTTGTTTTAAGCCACCAAGTATGTAGGCAACTATGATTTTCAGTATGGCACCTGGTGGATTATTTCACTGCAATCTCAAGTTGATAATAATTGCATATCATTTATTACTAAAAATGAGATAATGGTTCCTAGTCTATTGTCATGTACACTGCTTGGTAGCAGGGTCTGCTTGGTAAGAGGGTCTAGAGCCAGACACTGTGAATTCAAATTATAGCTCTGCTAGATACTAGCTATAAAATTCTGGGAAAGTTATTTTAACTTTTCTGTACCTTGGTATTTTCACCTGTTAAGCCATAATTACAGTGCTTACCTTGTGGGATTGTTGTAAAGGTTAAAACTGGCTAGTAAATTTTATGGACTCAGAACATTGCCTTACAACTAGTAAATAATTTCCTAATACTATTTCATGAGGATACCAATCTGGAACTCTTTATTTCCTTTTTCATAGAGTCTACATGTAAATTGCATTATAACTATTGTGTATAGAGTGCACAGGTAGTACAGGCATATGTGCAGGGACTGTGGCATTTTAGGTAATTTTTTGTAATTCAGTGTACAAAAATAGATTACAAGATTCCATCAAATGTGATTCCATCAAATGAGAGTTCATCAAATGTGTAGATTAGATGTATTTTGATTATCTAGCCTAAAATAACATTACTTTAACTGCTGTTATGGTTTGTGTGTAGCTCTTCCTCCAAAGCCTCATGTGTTCATAGGTGGGGCTTTTCCAGAGGTGGCTGGATCTAAGCGTGTGATGCCGGGATCAAGGATGTATGATTATTAAATTAGTCCACCGACTGGTTTGGTGTAATTCCGGGTAGGATTAAGGATGTCCTACCCTAGGAATGAGTGCTATCCTCCCTGAGTGTCAGCAGGGTGAGAGGTATAAGGGATAGGAAGAGGATCTTTGGTGGCTTGTCCCTTGTTGCTTGCTGCCATGCTATCATCTGCTTTCCGCTTGCCCTGCTTTTCCCTGGAATGTTTCTCCTCTGTGATGCCCCTCTGCCCTGCCACCTTGCTTTGGAGCCAGCCAACTATGAACTGAAACTGTAAGCTGCAATCAATCTTTCCTCCCTTAACTTTGGATGTGGGGTATTTTGTCCAAGCAATGAGAAAAGTAACTAAGACAACCATTATTTAGAAGTTAAATAACAGTTAAAATTTCAGTAATTTCTTGCAATAGCAGATATCAAGACATCAAAAATAATTAATCCTTTTTGTAATTTGTTGCATTATGCAGTATTCAGTAAAAGGTGTAAGTCTGAGAACATGAATCAGGAAATCCTTTTCTAGTGGTCATGAGAGACTATTATGAGCCTTTATGCTCCTAGATATAGTGAACTCGATCTTTTATTTATTTTTAATAGTGACTTTTGTTATTGCTTTCTATTACTGTATCATTAAGGCATAATTTGCAGCTTCACTTAGATCATGGCCACTTTTTTGAGTTTTCTCTACCCATTTCCTTTCTTTTTATTTAGTTCTGATTAATTTTACTCAAATGTCTGGACTTCCTTGAGCTCTTTATATCTCTGAAACTGTATTGGATTGCAATATTAGAGAGCCTGTCTTACAAATGCTTCAGGATTGGAAACTACACATAATAGCTAATCTGTTGAGTACCTGCCATATTGCAATTATTGCCATGTTGCAATTGTTTGCATATTTTATTGATAATTGTGATGACTAAAACATGTATTTGCATTGGTAGAGATATAACACAGCCCCTCATGTGTGTTAGGTTAGTTTTCTACCACTGAGCTACATCTCCCAGCCTTGTGACAAGTCATTTCATCTGTTCGCCTTTGGCTATGAGGTGCTCAGATATTTGCTCAAAAATATTCGGGGCATTTTTGTGAGGAAGTGCTATCATTTGGATATGAGCTATTCTCCAAAACTTACATGCTGGAAGCTTGGTCCCTTGTGTAATGGTATTTAAAGTTTGTGGAGCCTTAAAAGATGAGTCTTAGTGGAAGATGATTGGAAAATTGGGGCAGGACCAGCATAAGGGACTAAGGCCCAGCTCACAGGAGTGAATTATGTCTTGTGAAACTAGACTCACCCTTCTGAGAGTGGGTAGTTACAAAGCACATTTTTTCTTTCTGTTTGCCCTCTTGCTTCCCCCTTACTAGGTGATCGCTTTTGTATGAGCTTCTTGTGACTCTCACACACTCCCGCCAGCAGAGGTCCTCACAGACTCCAGTGCTGATATCTGGTTCTCCTAAGAATCAAGTGGATATCTGGAAGAACATTGCCTAACACAGTAGAGCAATGCTTTTGAAGTTTGGTCTCATAACCTTCATTTTACAGATTAGGAAACTTGAAGCTTTTTCAGCGAAGATACAATATGATCCTATCTTCCCATAACCAGTGGGTGGCGGAAGTGGAATCCCACCCAGGTCTGCATCCTTCCAAGGTCAATATTGTGCCTACTTTGTAGCATTTGATTCCACAACATCTACTGAACTGGGGTCAGAAGAACCTGAAACCCATATTGAATTGTCTCCCACACATATCAGCTCAGAAAATATTTCCTCATGGGAGATCAGGGATCTTTGAGAAGCCGGACATCCTCCCATTTTCATAGCACATGGCCCATCGCTCATTCTCGATCTATGCTGCCTGTATTCTTT